CCTCAGTGTCCCTGCCCCTTGTTGTTGGACCTAATAAATAAAATGGGCAGTCCAGAGAGGCCTTTGTCTTAGCCCTTGTAGTCTTGAGCTCAATTAAAGGGTTTTGACTCTCCTGGAGCCCTAAAATCATATAACTTGTCTCAATTTATTTAAGCCTCTGCTTAAATGACACTCTGCACTTGTTTGGGAGATTGGGAATCTAGGTCAGAACCCAATAACAGACTTTACAATGCATTGTTAGAATATAAAGATAGAAAACACACACACACACACACACACACACACACGCACACGCACACGCACACGCACACGCACACGCATAGACATAGACATAGACAGAGAATGAAAGTCAGAGCAAATGTAAGATTTAAACTTGTTTACTACTTTACCAGGGTGAGTACAGACATAATACATAATAACACATGCTGAGAATGAGGGTTCAACTAACCTTCAACAACTAACCTTCAACATTTTTAAATGAAAACTCGTGTTATGATCTATGAATTTAAGGAAAATAATACGAAATATAGAGAGGAATGGATATATATTCTAGATCTAGTAAATAATTACAAAATATACTGCACTTGAAGACAAAACAAGCATGAATGCCTTGGGAAAATGAGTGGTGGGTTTCCTAGATACAGAAAGAAAATAAAAGAAATAGTTGGAAGAAAGAAAAATGGAATATTGAAACTCCACTACTCCTTTGAATATGAAATGGTGAGAAAGAATCACGCGAGGAGACACCAGAAAGAAGCGCAGGCAGACGGATTAGTTAGGTTTCTTTCTTGTCTCTCCAAACTTGTGTACATTATAAAGGCCAGCAGCTCAGAGAAAGAAAGCAGACTGAACATACCGAACACATTTATCTAAAGGTATAGCAAAACTCAGGAACTCTGAGACAGACAGATATTATCTACAGATAGGAAATTCCTGCCTGTAGTTTTATTATGTAAAAGAGATTGTTCAGAAAAAAAGCAACAGACATTAAATAAGCATTGTAATTGGCCCCAAGTATAGACATTACTGCGGGCTTGGAAAACTGATTCATGACTGCTACACTATTGAAAAGAGTTTAGTAACACATTGTAACATATTCCAGTATTAAATTGTTTTAAATATGTATGAAAATTGATTTTCTGCAAAGATTGCAACAATACATGTGATTTGTTTTTAGAGCTAGCACTGAGACAAGTTCACACAAATTTATATTGTCATGTGGATAAATTTATTTTGTGGGAACATGCATCTTTTAGATTAATAAGAAACTGCAGAGAGATAAGATGTGAGTAAAGGAAAAAGGAACAAATGCGTTTTTCAAAATAAAGAAAAACAAATTTGTACTTTACTCCCCTAAATTACATTCCTAAAGGTTAGAAACCAGAGATTTAAGCATCTGAGGATTAAATAAGAAAATTCCAAATATTTTGTGACTGTGATATGTATTTAAACATGAGTCATACTTACAAAAGATATTCAAACGACATGAATTTTATTATACTTACAATGGAATTGGAAAATAATACTTGTATTCCCTTTCGCCTTTGCATTTTAAATTATATAATTTGAATGTTATATACCATTTTCTTTATTTGTGGTTTGATGCTTTCAAAGTCTACCATAATAAAGGATCAGTGGCAGCTAAGTCTGCTCCTGTTGTGAACTGACTGTGCTCTCTTTCCGACACAAATGAAGGGGAAAACGGCTAAATGAATTCCAAGCTGTTTTTCATTTAATCTTCTGTGTGCTTTAGCCATAAAATACAGCTCATTGGAAGGCTTTTTTGTTGTTTCACTTCATTTATTTGGCATAAGAACAATAAATGTTCTGTTTTGTGTGTTTGCAGTAGTTACACAGGTCCGCTTTGCAGTGACAGAGGAAGGGGTCCGTTACATAAGAATAGCTCACTGTGCCTGTGGAATATGCATGGAAGATGGCATTGTTTAATCTATTAAATTTTTACGAACTCAGATTAACAACTGGAAATGTTTTATAATTTCACAGAAAACACTTCGAGTGAATATATATATATATATATATATATATATATATATATATGCTTTGCATGATTTTCTCACTTAGTTAAAGCAAGGTTGCCAAGATTATTATGGTAATACTATGGCATTACCATTAAGGTAATGGTAATTTTGGGGATTATATGCCATTCTATGAATGAAGCATCAAACGCTGTTTTAGAGACAAGCATGCTTCCCTGTTGTTCATTTCTTTTGTGTCTTATAGTTTTTAAACTTCATGTGATTTGATTTTATTCATAGCAGTCAGAGGAACTGATTGGGATTGGTTGACTCATGTTGTAATTTATTGGGGCGTTTAAAATAGTTCTTACTGAAACACATTTTAAATGGTAAATAATAAAAGGTAGCATTTTCTAGTGACTAAAATAGTGACACACGTGTGTCATTTTATATTTTTTTCTTTTTAAATTTTGTTCATGTAATACCAACTTGAAGTTATTAGAAATATATCTATATATATTTTTCATAGTATCTATTGCATATTTTGGATCTTATTTACTCTTTCAGTTTTTCACACTATGGGGGCAATACAATATTTACATATTTGATCACTTTTTATAGGAATGAAAATTATAAGACATTCAATAGCTCAGCTTTGACCCATGCTTGATATTCTTTTTCACATTGATTTTAGAAACTTTTAATTTTGATAAAAGACATGATTGATTACTTTCATCTCCGCTAATTAAGGCCGTTTTTGATCTCTATTTACCTGGCTCACTGGCCTGATTTGCGTATGCATCCTGTGGAGCATTTTCAACTTCAAAGATTCCTACTTGTGCTCAAGTTCTTTAAGTCATCACCAGTTCTCTGTTATGAGAAGTACAAGTCCTTGTGTTATTTCTTATGACACAATATACCTTTTTAAAATGATTTACATTGGTTAAAGATTAGTTCAACAATTTTTCTTCAATTTGGACATAGTCTTTGCATATCTTTTAGAATTTTCTTTAACAGTCTTCCCTGTTCTCATAGTTTCAAAAGATCAGTAATCATAGTTTTTTTTTAAATTTTTTTATTTAGTCTATTCTAGGTCAAAGTAAAGTTGTGTTCCAGGGATTATTTTATGTGCCAAAATTTTATGAGTATATCTCTTTCATATACCAAATTAAAATTTAATAGTTATTAAACAACATTTTACACATGTACTTACAAAGAAAGTGCCATTAGGGAATATGGCTGTAAGTGAACAGAGGATAAAGAAACAATTGAAAACCGTGGAAACAAAATACTGCAGGATATACTGGCAAAACATTTAGCAAAATTGTTTTCTGAGAACTTTTGAAAGGGGAAATTTTGCTTCTGAAATTGTAGTTTTGGGCAAAGAGTTCAAAAAAATCAAATACAAGTAACTGAATTAGCACTAAACAACTTAAATTATTAGAGAAGGAAACATAAATTGAGGTAGAATGGGTGAATTTTGAAAAAACTAAATGACATAGAAATTTTTGATTGAAGAAATCAAAACAGCTTTCCAAAGTTCAAAATCCGTGCACTGAAGTAATTTTCTCTTTTACGGGGGAAGGCGGAGGGGAGAGAGAGAGAGAGAGAGAGAGAGAGAGAGAGAGAGAGAGAGAGAGAGAGAGAGAGAGAGAGAGAGAGAGACAGAGAGAGAGAGAGAGATTGAAAGACAAAGGACAGTAAAAATTTAACAGTCAAAGCTGAGCCAGGCTAAATACATGCTATCTATTAAATCTTTTTAAATAGATGAAACATCACAAAACCTTTAGTTCTGTTTTACACAAGAAAGCATAAAATTACTTTGAGGAAAGTATGACATACAGAACTCAGACGAACAAGACTGCGAGTGTGGTTCCTGAGAAACGGAGATGTCAGGAATCAAAGAGAAACAAATTGCACTTCTTTTAAGAGGCTTGTATTTCTAAGACACCATGAACTACTTAGAGAGTTGTGATCATCCACAACTTTGACATCTGGACTTTATACATGCTACTGTTATAAGAAATCTTTAAAGATGAAAGCCATTCAAGAAATTTATATTCCCAATACCACCTTACCTTGAGGTTTGGAAAGTGAATAAAAGAGGCATTCCCCAAGAAGCATCATGCAAAACCACTGAACAAGTAATGCAAATAATGAAACTTGGGTAGGGTCCAGGAACATTTTTCCACACGGTAGAGGCCGGGACTGTACTCTTCTAGCAGGGAGATTTCAGAATTGTACAGGCCTTCCATACCCTGAGGTGCTATTGTGGTCATCCTATTCCTAATAGAATGCTAATTGCAATTTGCATTGGTTGCAGTTGGGAGAATATTATTCCTAGTTCCCCTATGAAAAGGACAATCACATCTCAACATGATGTAAAAATTATGACAAGAGAAAACTTCTATTACCAAACGTGAAATCTGTATTATATGGCAATGTTTTTTTAAATTCTTAAAACACAGCAGTACTCAATAAAATGGAAATGCTTAGCCATGCTCTGTCATACATCCTCTTTTTTCTTCCTAACCTTCTGCATGGTTTTGATGCATTTGTGTTTTTCTATCTGGAAAATAAATATGGAATATTATACTTAACTATTTAAAGAATGAGGAAAAACAGTGAAATTTATGCAAGTATTACCAAAGTGTATCCCTGTTAACGTTGCTCATCTACCGCTCGTTATGATTCTCACGTAATTTTTCAGTTGCTAGAAGTTTCAGAAAACTAATAACAAAAGGAAATGAAATTGCCTCTCAGAAGTAATTCTTAGAATTGGATTGCTTGTGAGTAAACATTCTTAGTGGCAGATTACCTACCATAGGCCATCTTATCTAAGTATTCTAACTTTATACAGTGTAATACATTCATGTAGATGTAGAAACTAACAAACAAATTATTGGAGGAAAATACAAATTGTGGAAAATAATAACAAGAAAACATACATTTTGTTAACTTGAAAGTGTTTATTTTGGTATGTTTCTATAAAAGATAGTTTCAGTTTCAACAGCAAAGGAAAATTAAATGGGCTCTTTGCATTTTGACACAATTAAATAGCAAAACTAAAGAACTGTCATTATCTCAGACAAGCAATTCTAATTATCTCCTTAAAAACATTGTAACTCAAGATCTAACATGCCTAAGAATAATGATTTTTCTAATTGCCATCACAGGTTTAAGGAAAAAGAATTACTGGATATCAAGTTTCTAGCTTCTCTATTTTTAAATTTATTTATTTTTATGAGCACATGTTTGTGGTACATAATGATCACATTCTTCATGAGCAGAGAGCACATGGGCATAACACATCTTGACTCCCTTCTGTCCTCTTTTCCTCCATCTCATGATCACTTCCCCACGGGAAAATTATTTGTCAACCTATTTCCTCTATTTCTATTTTCTGAATATTACAATTGTAACCACTTAATATCTATGCAAAAGGTGAATTTTTAATAAAGAAGTCTTCAGGTTTATAATTATTAAAAGTTAGATTTTCTGATAGTGTCATAGACATATGATAATTTAAGCTCAAATTTTCTTGAAAAGAGTTGCCTTACATTATCTTTTTATGTGTATGCATGGGTTCTTGGGTAGGGTCCAGGAACATTTTTAATGTGTGTGTGCTGGAGATCAAACCCATGACCTTGCACTTACTAGGCAAGTGCTTGAGTCACTGAGTTTAATCCCGAATCCTACATTATCTTTTTACTATGGTATTATTTAGTTGCTTAATTTTATTATTGTTGCTTTTTTAGTAAATCTCCTAATGAAACTGTCTGCTAAAATTTTACATTCCAGTGACTATCAGGTACAAAATGTCAGAGAGAAATAGTCAATTCAGTCTCACATCTCTCATTACATTACCATTATACTATTAAAATTTTTATGCTTATGTTAACATTTAGATAAATACATATGGTAATGCAGATCATTTCAGTTGTAATACTGTCCAATATTTGGCACATGTTTTAGGCCTCTGTCATTTGTGACTTATGCTTCTGTCCAAAACAAAGCTTAAAGTTGTATGTTAAATTCAATCAATCTGTTTTATGTAGGCATGTTTTAAACTTTTAGAGGGAAATGAAAGGTGACCCCACGTTGGACTGTTTTCAGGTTCATCACCTGAAATATCCTTAGGAAATCATTCAGAAATGCTAACGGTTAATAACCTAGCTGTGGAACTGCACATTAAGTTAGTCAGAGCACAGGTTATAGACCATTTAGCAACCATCATTAAAGGAGGTATGTTAAGTAAAATATTCCAGCAGACTAAAAATTTTTATTGGTAACTATTTTCAAGAATAAAAATATTAAGATGGTCTCCTATTAATTCAATCAGTAAACATTTCAGTTCATATAAGTGAAAACTCGGTGCTAATACTGTGTATTGAATTGAAGTCCCTATCAAATTCTCATTTTTAAATCTTAAGACTTAGATGTGACTATACTTTGTTATACGATTAGCTAAAGGAGTCATGTGGAGGCACTATTATACAGAAATGATCACAGCATGAGAAAAAGAAGGGAGGTAGTTCTTCATCTAACTAAAAATAAGAAGAAAACAGCTTCCACAGTGAAACAGCTCTTACTGGAACCTTAATCTCGAACAACCTAGACCAGAAGTTTGACAATACAGGTTGTTTAAACCACACTGTCCAGAGAACTTGTTTGGTGATGGCTAACTGTGCAACAGATTATACTAAACCTGAGTCATATCCTAAGGTCGAATATGGCAGTGTGTAATTTAAAAATCTAGTTTTGACCAGAATCAGTATACCCAAATTTTTCTGCTACCTACTCCATTTTAAAAAAAAAATATTGCTCAATGTTTTGCATAAAATTTGAAAGTATTTCAAATAAGTTTTGCTGTTTTCTTTGGGAAAAATTGCATAATTTATCAATGTATAATACATGTCTTGGTTCCATGGGCCTCAGCTGAAAATAAGAATTTCTTAATTATTGTAAAAGAAAATGGTGATGGAATACAGGAGAGAGAACTAAATAAAAGGTTGTCAGACTTCTGGACATAAATTGGAAATGCAGTGTGAAGGAGTTGAGTGGCACTCTGAAATGAACAAACACAAAGAAAATTGGTCGCAAGACGGCATGTATCTAGCATGAATGCTCATGATGCTGAGACTAAGAATCAACCTGGCCTTCCCTCGCTTTAACAGTGAACAAAATAAAATTTATGGTAAATTATATTTTGCTGCTTACAGCTTCTATAAGTATTTTTCAGACTGCACAACTTTATACCTTAGAAGGACCTTGAATGTTTACTATGATTTGGAAGCTCTCCAATTGGATGAATTATCTACACTGATTGTACATCAAGTAAAATTAAAGAACACAAGGTAAGTCCAAAGAGAGGTGAAATTCAGAGATTACATCTTTGTGCTGTTTTAGCAAACAAATAAGGTATGTTTGGCTCTGACATAAATAAATAGTGCAGCTTCAGATTAGATAGCTAATGAAGACTGCAGTGCAATTCCTCAAAAATTGAAAATATTACATCCAGGAAATATCAGTAATAAAAGGCTAATGCAAAGAACTGTGTGATAAAATGAAATGAATGTGATAAAATTGAGTATAAAAGGTGAGTTACCATCTTCATGAATAGAAGAAATGATCTAGGTTTATTCCTTACTTGGTTTCAGATACATTGATAAACTAGATTTCAAATCTTCTATCACGGACATGTTTTGGGAAAGCGTACTTTAAAAATACTTTATGAGAAAAAATTCACGTAACATGCACTCACACATTTAAAGTATGCAATTCAATGTGATTTGGGGGATATAGCCAGAGCTCTGCAACTATAATTTAATTCTGAAATATTTAATAATCTTTAGGTAATCATAGATACCTTTCTACAAGAAAATTGAAACCAAGTAAAAATCAGTGACTTATCTTTAACCTATCAGATCAAGACAAATCACTATTCACTAATCTACAAAGGCCATTAAATACAGTCAGTTAAATCCATAACTGGGAGAAATATTTAAATGGTAATTTTTATGAATTACTGGAGGCAGGCTAAGAATGAAAAAATACCATTGGCCACAGTCTGAACACTTTCTCCCAGGTGTGAGTTATACCTCTAGGAATGGACCAAGTTCAAGCCTGATGAAGATCTCAGAAAGATACTGCTGTAGCCCTTCCAGGAGAATGAGGCAGAATAAATTGCTTTTAAATAAAATCCCTGACTTGCCAGAAAAAAATAAACTAAAGTGGAATTTCCTTCTGGAGAAAGGAGTTTCCTTCCATATTCATCTGCTACAGATTTTTGTGTCACTTATGAGAAACAGAGGACACTTAAACATTACAAAGACACTTCTGAAGCTCACCGCAGAGACAGGCCCACCAATGCTGAGACTGAGTGAAACCCATGTAGTGATTGCTCTCCTCTCCCCTATAACTTCAAACACACTGAAAGTAGCATCACTAGATTGTACCTGATTGGGCTGAAAAATGCACTCGTTTTGAGAAGGAGCATTTGTGGTATATAAAGTCTTACGGGAGACAAAGCAAGAATTCCAAGAGAGCATGGCATCCGTGAGACCCACGGTTACAGAAATTACTGCAAATAACACTGCACCTGAACCAGTGTATAAATCCTATTTACCAAGGTCTTTCTTTTTATAAGGCACCTATAAAGACAACAAAGGAGGACAGAATCTAGAAAGACAGGTAATTTTAGAACCAACACATTCTAGAATTGCTGAGGAATTTTAAATATCTATCATTGCATGCTAAAGTCTACGTAATGGTTTATTCCGTGTGCTATTTGACTGGATTGATGGGCAATTCAGAAAGCCGGTCAAACATTTCTGGTAGTATCTCTGTGGGTTTTGTGGAAGTATTTAGCATTTCACTTAGCGGTCTCAGTGAAGATCTGCCTTCACCAAGATGAGCTGGTATCACCTAATCAGTCTAGTGAGGCTCGATTAGATTAAAAGGGGTGTAAGGAATTCAATATTTTCTCTAGAGAAGGAACCTTCGTCTTCTGTTCAGACAGAGGAGCTTTCCTGCTTTGTGGGACTTCCTACCCCATCATTCTGTCAGTAACACAGCTTTTCCTCCTTCCTGATGCTGAGACTCTAGGACTATCACTGAGCTTATACTTTTAGATTTTTTAGGTCTAAGTTTTCTTAATTTTATTGTTGTACAACCTTCAGATAGCACTTTATGCTGCTTACCAGTCTCCCAATTTTTGTGAGCCATATTTATAATGAATCAATTCTTCTGTGTCCATGTAGATGCATTTGGTGCTTTTCTTCTGGAAAACTCCAAATAATATAACCTATAATGAAAAGAGTATGCAGTCATTAATGGGAGAGGAGTAACTTAAACAGAAATATGGAAATAACAAGGAAAGGAAATATTGTAAATAAAAGACAACACTCACGCTTTGCATGCAAGGAATGTGACGTAAGTGAAAACATCAGATCTAGAGAAAAGCATCAGAGAAGGAATCACTGGTGTTAAATGAAATGCTAAAATATTTTATTATTAGCAAATAGAAAAGGTATCATAGTGAATTTGCATAATTATATAATGCGGTCATTTAAATGAACAGCAACAAAGAAAATTGAGAAAGTCCATCAAAGTGTATCAAGTCGGTCTATTGATGATTTCAAGCCGAAATCCCTTTGGTGTAACTTCAGAAAAAGCCACTTAGCTTCTTTTCCTACAGTTAACAAGGCACAAATATTCTCTTGAGAAGAATATCCTTCTGATACCAACCCTGTAAAATAGCCTTGACCACTTGAAAACAGAATTTGGGAGCCACAATAAATCTGAATAGTCAACTCTTTAAAGTAATTCTTAATTTTCACTAGCTTTTGACTCTGCTCCTTTATTTATCTTGTTGTAGCTCTGTAAGGACATCATCTACATCCCTAGAATTTCTGCACTAATTCAGAAAGCGACTTCCTACATCAGTTTGTTATTCTTTCTGTAAAAAGTGCAGAAGTACTTTCCTTTGAGCATTTCTCCAGACTAGTCTGTTGGGCAAATCTCCCTGTACACGTAAAAGTAATAAAATCTTTATGTTTTTATTATACATTGAACCCTGTATTTGTTGTTCTCAACATTTAACTAAAGAACTTACATGTGCACTAGAGACAGGGACCTGGAGGCACGCTCTCTCTTGTCTGTCGCAGTGCTGCCATGAAAGTTCAACACGCAGAGATTAAGAAGACTCATCCGCAAAACGCCTGTACTGTATGTAAAAAACTGGACTCTTATTTGAAGGTGGATTTAAAAGGCACATTTCAAACTCTATGGAAATCGAATAATACATTTCAAAGAAACATTTTGATGCATTAAATGAGAAGATATGATAAAATCAAGTCAAATATTCAATTAAAAAAATATAAGGCAGGAAGAAAGAAAAGAAAGTAAAAAAATGCCAAATACATTTAAACTGATGGTAAATATTAAAACAACCACATAAATATTCACTTCACATTCAAACATTCACTTCCCATTTCAACTGCTATTTTAATTTTTTGCATTATTTTAAAATATGCGTTTTGCACAATATATACTGGCCTTTGCTGTAACTTATTGTTATTTGTATATGTATTGTTTTAATGTTTTGGCAGGACTATTTCACTGAAGTCTTTAAAAAATACTTTGTAAAGAGACAATCAAACAATGACAGAATTTTTAAAAAATAACCTTAAAAATAATCTCTAGTTAATATATTACATATTGTAATCTTACAAGTAGTTACAAGGTTAAAGCATAAAAGTTACAAAGTTAAAGCATAAAAATTCTGCATAGAAATTCTGTATAATTTCTTCCCTTTTTTTTCTGTTTTGCTTTTTTTAAAAAAAAAATAAAAAGAATACATGTGAAAGCTGTGATACTAATCTTCAAACAGCATAGTCTTGGCCATGTGCGTAGGCCCCTGGAATCCCACTTCCCCCTTTCCAGTTTCCCCGATGACTATGGTTTTATCTGCATTCCATTTGAGTGACTGAATTTTTTTTAAGCCATGTGTTTGTCTGGTTTTATTGGTATTATATGCAGATCTTAACTTTCACTTGTTTGGAGCTAGTAATTGCCCATTCTACTGTGCTGACAATCCGGGGGTAAAAATTGCTCCATACTTTGATATCATTTAAGACAAGAACGTTTTATGAGACGCTCTTATATCAAACTGATACATGCTCCAATTCCTAGAGTTTTTATTAGACGTCTCAAATATTTATTTTCTTTTTAAATATTTAGCTTGTTTACTATTTCCTTTATGCTATTACACAGCGACCAACCTCCTCTTAATTCCTTGCTACTAAGATCTTTGTGATTTTTACAGCTTGAACTATTGAGCTTGACTAAGGTAAACTCAGTTCCCTTAAGGACAACTAGAGAATTTTCTGTTCTAATAGTCTTCCTCACCTCCAGGGCGGGTCTTCACTAATGTAACTGATCAAGGTGAGATGAGTGCAGTGGCCTACCACTCTCCAAATGATGCCTTGGCTCTCCCAGTCAGGCACTGGGTGATGACAGTCTTTGATTTTCTCAGTCTAGTTTTACTGACAAAAGCACCTAGGAGTAAAGCAGGGTGAGAGCCATCAAAGCCCAGCGTCCTAGGCAGGCCATACTCCTTTACATCAAGAGAAGAGCATGGTCAACATAATGAAGGCAGGGGAAAGGAAATACTTTTACACATAATAAAATACCATTGTGTCTGAAACTATGGTGCTTCACAAAACCAGCGGAAGCAGGTCTAGTGGGTGAGAGGAATTTGGGTCCTTTTCCAATTGGCTGAACAAAATGTATGTGATTAACTAAACCTTTACTTTTTTATCTAGATCAATATTACTGAAATTCCAGCTAAATGAATATTATACTAATAGTAGAGCTAAAGTGGCTAATATCAAGGAACAAATTAATTGTGTAAAAAAGTGTGTGAGCACAATAAAACTGCAGAATGTTTTTAATTAGTAATTTTTATGTTTGTGTGTGCAAGTAAATATAATTATTAGTTCTTTGAATAGGAAAGAAAACTCTACAAAAGCTGAGGCCAATTTCAAATCAACTGATCCAAATGGGGATTTGAATTCTGTGTTTTTTGACTATTGGGTACTGTACAGATTTGTATACTTTTATGTATGTCTTGCCTAAGCTTTTGATATTTCAGATACACACATATTATCTACTGTTAGGAGTACAGGTACCTACAAGCATTAGATTTTGTTACTATCTAGAGAGAACTATCTATTTTTTTTGCAAGTTAAATTCCTTATTAAAATTAAGTTAAATTCTACAAGTTAAATCCTTTTTTAACCTGCTATTCATTCAACAAACATGAAAATGTTACATAATCAGAAATATATTGAGATTTCCACCTACTGAAAAGAAATTTGTAAACATCACATTCAGAAAATCTAATAACCACTGATGTGTAATAGCATTTCATGAGTAGTTATGTAAATGAAAACAACAAATATTTCCTGTGACATTCAAAAATGAGCTAGCTTGTCACACTTTGTAGTTAAAAAATGGGCATAATCATGTATCTGTTTTGAAATTTTGTCATGCCCTCTACACCTCAATAGCATCTTGAGTTAAATTAGGCATGCCACATGTGTGGAAGTGTTGAGAATTACAATAGAGGTGATATGGGACAGCTCATTTCTTTCTAACTATGAAGTGGAGAATGGAGACTTCAGTTGTTATGGCAACCTGCAATTAATGAAAGTGTCATCAAAGTCATCTCTCTACAATATTTAATGTTATTTCCATTAATTATGATGGAAATCTCCTTCCTAAATCCAACGACCTAGTTGAAGTTAAAAGTCATGTTAGAAAAAAAATGAATACCGATATATCCTATATTGTTTAATGGAAAAGAATCTATCAAAAATTCTTTTTAATATTTTTGTCAAGAAAGTGGCAGTGATGCTGCTAATAAGATATTAATGACTTCTATATAGTTATCCTTTCAAGTAGATTTATGAAACCTTGTGGATTACTTAGCCTAACAGAAGCAGATATGATGATGAGGAGGGGAATGGGCTGAGGATGGCTGACAAAAGCTTAAACTGACATTAAAACTATTTATGATATAAAAATTCTATCATAAATTTTATTTTATCAAAATAATGATTTCCACACCCTATTGCAGATTAACATAAACACAGAAGCAAAAATCTCAAAGAGTGTATCAGTGTATATACTTTAAGTAATCGAATTCAATCCACAGTGCAATTAATCTTCATACACATTATTTCTAGTTCTCAAAGTATCTAGTAGAGCTTTATTAACCCATTTTACAAACTAGGAAAATGAGGGATATTGAACGAAAGTTAAAGTTACATTTTAGGCATTTCTCAAGGAAGATGCAGAAGAGGAAATATTCTATGTGCTCCTGGAGATTGTTCAGCATCAGCAAAGTCTGGTTCTGTCCTTAAAATTATTTTGAGTTTAAAATCTAAAAACTAATACTATAAATCTGCAATCTACTTTCACAGAGTTGTAGCGTTCTTATTTTAATGACCTAGAATTTGGAAAAAATAAATATCTGAATTTATTAGCTTTCAGCTGATAACGCTCCAGGTTTAATACTGAATTTCTAATGTTTCCTTAGAGTACAACCCAGACTGATCTAAAAATTAACTAGAGCATGATGAATAAAAACACTCTGTGATGCAGCAATCGGCAGTGTGAACCTTGGGAAGAAAGCTAAAATCTACAAGTTGGAATAATAAGATTGTTTGAAGATGCAGTTGTTAATACAGCATGAGGAAAATGCCTTACAGAAATGGATCTATCTTATTTTTACATTATGTACCCAAGGAAACTAATAAAAATAAAAACAACCTAATCTGTTGTAGTGGCCATAGCCAGAAAGCCTTTAGCTGTTTTAATGTATAGGCATAAATTGAAAGGAAATGAAAAATTCAATGAAATTTTCTTCATCTTTTGGTAATAAGAGTGAATACATTTAGAATAGAGACAGACTGAAAATATAGCATGTATAAATATGGTTTCAGTTAAATTACTTAAATAATAGTATTGCATAAAATAAAATTAACAATTAGGAATAATTTATTGTGTTCCAGATATACTGGCCATCTACGGGTACATATGTTTCATTTAAAAAGTGTATCTCACAGATGTTAACCTTATGCTGTTGCCCCTGAAACAGAAATGTAGCACTAACTTTTAGACTAATGCACAAATTCTGATAGAGGGAATATATGTATCATTAAGAGTATAAGAAATAAATCAGACAATTCTGAATGTAAATTCCAGTCATTTTTACTGAATGCTTCTATGTTCTTGAACAAGTTACTCTAAGCCTTGATTTTGCATCTTTATATTGGTAAACATTAAGGCTCTTGCCTCATAAGATTGTGGAAGGATCCAACATATTAGCAGTCTTAGCATGGAGCCTATTCCATTTGTTATCATCAAGAAATCAAAAAGTAAAAAATGCTGATGAGGTTGTGGCATCAAAGGCAGGCTTCTTGTTGCTGGTGTAAGTGTAAACTAGTACAGCCACTACAGAAAACAGCATGAGTACTCTTTTTTTTTTTTTTTTATTAAGGAGAAAAAAGAAAAAAAAAACAGAAATAGGTTACAAGTTATACAGAATTTCAGAAAAAATAAACAATAGGAAATCACTAGTTAATAGATTACATATTGTTATCTTAGAAATAGTTGTTCAAGTTACAAAATTAAAGCATATAAAGTGGACTTTCAAACAGTGAGACTGGAAACAGTTCTGTTCAATGAACCAACAAAAACTTAGTAATATGGTTATCTATCTTATATACTTAAATATATATGCGATTATATTCTTTAGAGCACTTTCTTTTCCTTTCTTTTGTACAATGACAATTACACATTTTGGGTTTTATTACTCCCACAGTTCTTATTACTTTTTTTGAAGAGAGTAAAACCAAATTTGACATAACAGAACAGAGTCAGTCAAATCAAAAGGATGAGCATAATAGATAATGTAAAAACAAAATACTAGGTGATCAACAATGGTTATCATACTGCCTCTTGTTATCTTAAAAAGAATTGCCTATATCATCAGTTATAATAAAATTGAACAAAACAGTAAAGAATAAAACCAAAACATTGGAGACATTACAGGGCTTTAAAAGAAGATAATAGTCAGCCAGAATGGGCGTCATAATGAATCTTATTGTCTTCACAGTTGTTGCCTATACTTTCGAACTTGGTACTATCACGCAAAGCAGAATAGAGGAAAAT